GGGAGATCAAGAAAGAAAAACAGAATCGGAATTAGGACCAAGCGCACCTGCAGGCACTGGACGGGAGTCTATGGCACAGAAGGTTGGCGAAGGTGCGGAAGAACACACAGGAGGCAATCATGCAAATACAACAGGTGGTGTTCAATTGCATACGGAAGGGCAAAATGAACAACCTAGAGATGACCTCCTTAAAGAAAGTAATCATGTTGAGACTTCAAGTACGGCAAATAACCCATCTGTCTCTCACTCTGAACGTGAGGCTTCTTCTTCTTCAAGCACAATATCAACTCCCGCACAAGATGTGCCTGCTCCCAGCGTAACAACAACAGCAACAGTTACCAGCACACAGAATGCCGGTGAAGGAGCAACAGCAGAAGAATCTACTGCAAAAGTGAGTGAACTCTCGGCGACCACACCGTCTGCTAATACTAATACTGTCTCGTCTGAGTCTCCGGATCAAACGAGTCAAAGTGGACCCAATGATCCTACGGAACAGTCTTCTTCTTTAAGCATGAACACTACCACAGAAGCACCAACCACCACTCCATCTCCTGTTACTGTACCCAATCCACAGATCAACAACAACATCACTTCCGCCGTACAGAACAAGGCCAATGTTGACAGCAGTGTCAGTCCTGTGTGGATGCGCACTGCAGCACCGCTGATGATTGTGGTTGTGTTGTTCTCCGCTACCGTGTACTAAACGGTGGGACTCATCTGAGGTCAAATAATAATAATAATAATGGTTAAACTAACATAATTATAATTGCGTACATCCCCCATGGGTGAATGAATTAATAATCTGTTTACCAGCTTTCTCTTTTAATTATGATTTTTTTTCTTTTGTGTGTGTGTTCTTTTTCTAATAATTCCATTACTTGCTTTTCCCGTTGTGTGTGTTTGCAAAGGACTGGGCTGTTCTGCTCACTGACGGTATACATCTCTTGCTAGTACACACATATGTGTGTGTGCAGTAATTTAATATACATAAACTAGAGCCATGGGGTATTGTGTGTGTTTGGCTCTCTCTATTATTTGGGTATTGTGTCCTCTTTTTCCACTAATGGATACATATTATTATTATCACTACAAGTGGGATATTCCTTTTTGTTTTTTTACTGTACAGTTACTGCTTCTCTCTCTTTTCCACTGTGAGTATTTGTTGTACTTTTGTATGTTTCTTTGTTTCTCTCTTCTTCGTTTTCCTTTTATTGCTGTTCCTTGTATTAGTCTATTGAAGTAAACAACAACAACAACACCAGCAACAATGATAAAGGCTGTAATGGTGAGGTGTTACCTGCTCTGTTTATTAACTTTTGCACTCTGTTGTGCTTCTGGGTTAGTAATGGCTGATAGTCCTAAAGCTTCTGATGTCCTTATTAAACCTTCCACTATTGGTGTTCCTTCTCTTGTTCGTCGTGCCGTTACTGCGCTCTTTTTCACGCCTGGTTGTGATGATGGTGATGATGAGTGGTTGGATAAATTAGTTGCAGAAAACAAGGATGTTCACAAAGATTCTGGTACTTCAGAGTCTTCGCCTAGTAGTACATCCATTAATACGGGTCTCTCAGGTGGTGGACCTGGGCCTAAAGAACTAGAGAGAGCAAAAGCAAACAGACAACTCGGAGGGGATGTGGGTCACAATCAACAAACAAATGATATCAACCCATCAGGTAATCCTAGGGTAAATGGGCAAGTGAGTGCTACTCTTCCAGCCATATCTCCTCCTGCTCTGGGAGGTCAACAGCCTGTTTCTCCTGCACCAGAGCCAGCTCCAGCTGGACCAAAAGTATCCAGTGAACACTCAAGTACAGAACGACATGAAGATGCACCCACTAAAGACGATCATGCTCTTCAACATGCAATGCAATCACCAGAGAAACAACAAGAAGGCACAAACACTCACGATAAACAAGGCGGAGAGACCGCAGATACATCAATGCCAGAACCTTCTGTTGGGCAAGAGACTTCCGCCACTGCACCTCAGAATACACCTGAGGAATCTTCCAGTACATCAGCCACACCGAATGCTAGTGAATCTGGAGATGCACAGAGTGAATCAACAAATACCCAAGAAGGTGATGCCGGAAATACAGACACAGCGACGACTACTACTACCACCACCACCACCACAACAACAACAACACTTTCTCCTGAACTCACAAACAACAAGAAGGGTGATGCAGACAGCAGCAGCAGTATCAGCAGTTCTGTGTGGGTGCGTGTGCCACTACTGATTGTGGTTACACTGGCCTGTATTCTTGTGTGCTGATTGTAATGGTGATGGTGTGGTGTGGTGACTCAGGTCATCCTTTGTTTTCTTTTCTTTTTTTCTTGCATATAATCCCTACAGTCTAACTAATCTTCCACATGTTGGGATTTCTTTTCTTTTTTTTTTGTTTCTTAATGTTAATGTGTTTTCTGTGTTTTTGCTCTCTATGTTTATCCTATAATAATTATTATTGCTACTCCATTGTGTGTGTGTGTGTTTTTGGAGACTCTCTCTATGTGTGCACCTGGGCTTGCACTGTAGTGATAATGAATTGCTTTTTGCAATGAAAAGAAAAAGAAATAATAATAACAGATGAATTTATATTTATAATTGCGTTTATATACACACATATAGACTTACACCCATAGTTGGTGTATATTTCTCTGTTTACTGTGTAAATTGGGCTAATGGTTAATATGTGTTTGTTTGCTTGCTTGTTTGCTGGATTGTCGTGGGTCTATCCTGCATTTTTGTGATGTTCTTTTCTGCGCAGAGAAAATAAAAAAATTTAATTAATACAATTTGTGTTTCTAATTGCTTGAACAGACCAACATACTCATTGGTCTGTGAGTTATTTTTGTGCGGTGGGTCCTGTTCTTAATTTGTTTTTTTATCATTTTTTTGCCTGGGCCCTCTGTGCTTTCTCCTACACTATGGTGTTGAATTGTTTTGTGTGGAAAGAAGATAATAAGGAATACACATATATTTGTAATTTTGCACATGGTTCGACCAGAAGAGACACTGTTATGTATTTCTGTGCTTTCTGCCTCTAATGGTTGTTCTCTTAATTTCTTTTTTCATATTGAGAGGTTAATTGGGATTCTCTTTTTCGTGATGGGTATTGTATGCTTTGTTTTTTTTTTTGAAATCTGGCTGAGTGATGGTTATAATTTCTTGTATTGCTGCTATTTGTTTTCTGTCGTTTGGTGAGACTTTATTTTTTTATATTTGTATGATTATCTTATTCTTCCTGTTTATTTTCTTTTTGGACCACTTAATTGAGATAGTATCACCAACAAAAACTGTTCCGATGGCTTTGCGTTACTTGTTCTTTGTTCTTACTGTCGCAGTTTGTTGTGCCTGCAATTGCCAGACAGCTGTAGAAGCTGAAAGTCTCCCTCAGCCTTCTGGTCATGATAATAATCATGGAAAGCCATTAACGCTGGATAGTGCTTTGGAAGAAACACCATGTGATAAAACAGCAACTGGTGGAGAGGCGGCAGCATGTAAAGCAGTTGTCAAGGCGACGTTGCCCCTAGAAACAGTTCAAGGTGAAGAAACAAACAGACACACTGGTATGAGTGCAGATCTGCAAAACAACCTAATACAACCTGAAAATGCTAAGAGGACTACTGCTGTGCCTAACGAACTTGGTAGTGCTGGTAGTTCGTCGACTGAAGGTACGAAGGCTAAAGCTCAACTTGAGGGCCATCCACCAGGGGAAAGTGAGGATAGTGCGCACCGTGGGGTACCCAGAGAAGGCATAGAACAGCCAGCTGAGAATAATGTTAACAATCAATCAGAGCGTCGACCAAATACAGTTGCCCCTGGTACTCCACAAACTCCCAGTGATACGGACCGAGTAAAATCGCCTGAAGAAACACTAAGTTCTCACGAAGAAAGTGATAAACGTGGTGCGAATGATGCTCAGAGAAATACACAACCTCCAGAAGCTCCAGTCACAGAACCATCTCCCCCTTCTACTTCCTCTGAAAATGATGGAACTCAGGGCGTTAATTCTGCAGAAACAACACCAACTAACCCAGCGAACACGAACTCTGACA